CCGCCCGGACCGGGGCACGAACCCGTGTCCCCTGCATCGGCAGGCGGACTCTCAACCACTGCGCCACCAGGGAAACCCTGTTGTTATTATTAAAATACCTAACAGCTATTGGGCACTTACCATGTGCCAGGCACTGTGTTGAGCACTTAACATGCGCTGTGTTTACATAAACCTATGAGGTGTTATCCATATTTTATAGCCAGGGAACAAAAGCTTTAAAAAGTTAAGTCAGGGACTTCCCTGGTGGTCCAGTGGTTCAGACTTCGCCTTCCAGTGCAGGGGGTGTGGGTTCAATCCCTGGTCGAGGAGCTAAGATCCCACAGGCCTCGTGGCCAAAAAAAAAAACTCCAAAACATAAAAATCAAAGCAATATTGTAACAAATTCAATAAAGGCTTTTAAAAAAATGGCCCACATCAAAAAAAATCTAAAAAAAACATGTTAAGTCATTTGCCCAAGGTCAACGGCTAGGAAGCTAGGATGCAAACCCAGGCTGTCTGACACTAGTTTAACCCTGCTATACTGCCTCCTTAACTCTGTGTTTTTCACATGAGACTTCAGTGAAGGGGTTGGGGAGAGGAGGTAGGGAAACAAAGGCAGCTCAAAAACCAAACAACTTGAAAGGTCACGTGGAGGGCACATCAACAGCTACTTGTTATCCTCCTCCCTCTCCACTGTTTAGCCCTCTTCAGGACTCAAGTCAAAAAGTACCTGTTACGGGGTCTTCAGCCACACCAAACCATGGAGTGAAATATCTGGAGTAAAAGTCAAACGCTTGAGTCTGCCCATCAGGCTCTCCCTTGATGGTGAGAATGAGTCCTTTCACCTTCCCCGTGTTTTCCACTTGCGGCAGATTCTGTGTGTTCACTTTCAGGCTCTCCAGAAATGACCTTGTTCAGAAACGGGGTGGATCAGGACAAAGCCATTCAATAGACTACCCATTACCCACACTCTGTAAAGCAGGCCAGGATGCAGCTTGCCAAATGGCTCACCAGGAGGCGAACAAAACTCTCTGGCTGTGTAAATCATGGTTTGACAGAACATGGCACAGCCAGACCAAGCCAGAGCTATAAATCTGGGTGCTCGGCCATCCCCAGGGTGCTGACGAAGCCAAAAATCTTGTTTACCTGTTGTAAGTATCACTGAGCCGGACCAGGAGCTTTCGGGTATCTGGGGAATAGCGGATGTCCTGAACCAGTGTGTCACCTATGGCAGTCTATGGAGACAGACCAAAACCTCCTCAGGAATTTATGAATTTGACCCATGTTTGGAGAGCAACCTCTCACGAGCGTCTGCTCTGTGCCAGGCACACCCAACATCTCCAATCCCAGGAGTTTCAGGTCAGTTTCAGGACTCAAGGTATTGCTCAAGAAGGCCAGTTTCCTGGCAGCCAGAGACCTTGATGAGGGTTGAGTTTACCCTCTGAGTTTAGCCAAAGATAGGCATTGTTCACACGTGTTACTACGTGCCTCAACACACAACTCCTTCAAGTGGGTATTTTCCCCACAGATAAGAAGATTCAGAGAGGCCCAAGGTCACAACCTTGATGAGGGTTGAGTTTACCCTCTGAGTTTAGCCAAAGATAGGCATTGTTCACACGTGTTACTACGTGCCTCAACACACAACTCCTTCAAGTGGGTATTTTCCCCACAGATAAGAAGATTCAGAGAGGTCCAAGGTCACACACACACACACACACGTGCACACACACACACACACAGGACCGGGGCACGAACCCGTGTCCCCTGCATCGGCAGGCGGACTCTCAACCACTGCGCCACCAGGGAAACCCTGTTGTTATTATTAAAATACCTAACAGCTATTGGGCACTTACCATGTGCCAGGCACTGTGTTGAGCACTTAACATGCGCTGTGTTTACATAAACCTATGAGGTGTTATCCATATTTTATAGCCAGGGAACAAAAGCTTTAAAAAGTTAAGTCAGGGACTTCCCTGGTGGTCCAGTGGTTCAGACTTCGCCTTCCAGTGCAGGGGGTGTGGGTTCAATCCCTGGTCGAGGAGCTAAGATCCCACAGGCCTCGTGGCCAAAAAAAAAAACTCCAAAACATAAAAATCAAAGCAATATTGTAACAAATTCAATAAAGGCTTTTAAAAAAATGGCCCACATCAAAAAAAATCTAAAAAAAACATGTTAAGTCATTTGCCCAAGGTCAACGGCTAGGAAGCTAGGATGCAAACCCAGGCTGTCTGACACTAGTTTAACCCTGCTATACTGCCTCCTTAACTCTGTGTTTTTCACATGAGACTTCAGTGAAGGGGTTGGGGAGAGGAGGTAGGGAAACAAAGGCAGCTCAAAAACCAAACAACTTGAAAGGTCACGTGGAGGGCACATCAACAGCTACTTGTTATCCTCCTCCCTCTCCACTGTTTAGCCCTCTTCAGGACTCAAGTCAAAAAGTACCTGTTACGGGGTCTTCAGCCACACCAAACCATGGAGTGAAATATCTGGAGTAAAAGTCAAACGCTTGAGTCTGCCCATCAGGCTCTCCCTTGATGGTGAGAATGAGTCCTTTCACCTTCCCCGTGTTTTCCACTTGCGGCAGATTCTGTGTGTTCACTTTCAGGCTCTCCAGAAATGACCTTGTTCAGAAACGGGGTGGATCAGGACAAAGCCATTCAATAGACTACCCATTACCCACACTCTGTAAAGCAGGCCAGGATGCAGCTTGCCAAATGGCTCACCAGGAGGCGAACAAAACTCTCTGGCTGTGTAAATCATGGTTTGACAGAACATGGCACAGCCAGACCAAGCCAGAGCTATAAATCTGGGTGCTCGGCCATCCCCAGGGTGCTGACGAAGCCAAAAATCTTGTTTACCTGTTGTAAGTATCACTGAGCCGGACCAGGAGCTTTCGGGTATCTGGGGAATAGCGGATGTCCTGAACCAGTGTGTCACCTATGGCAGTCTATGGAGACAGACCAAAACCTCCTCAGGAATTTATGAATTTGACCCATGTTTGGAGAGCAACCTCTCACGAGCGTCTGCTCTGTGCCAGGCACACCCAACATCTCCAATCCCAGGAGTTTCAGGTCAGTTTCAGGACTCAAGGTATTGCTCAAGAAGGCCAGTTTCCTGGCAGCCAGAGACCTTGATGAGGGTTGAGTTTACCCTCTGAGTTTAGCCAAAGATAGGCATTGTTCACACGTGTTACTACGTGCCTCAACACACAACTCCTTCAAGTGGGTATTTTCCCCACAGATAAGAAGATTCAGAGAGGCCCAAGGTCACACACACACACACACACGTGCACACACACACACACACACACACACACACACACACACACACACACACAACCTTGACCCAGGTCTGAGGGGCCCTGGAGTCAAAGCTCTGAATTACTACTGTCTACTATCTGTAGAGGTGCGGGCTTCATGCCTGCCTCTTGGAGTTGTTGTGAGGATTAAGTGAAATAATATGTGGAGTTCCTGCAGCAGTAACTAGAAGCTTCCACATGGGAAGGACTCAGGGCCAGCAGTCTGACTGGAAGTGGGGACTAGGGCACTTGTCTCAATGCTGCTCTGCTTGGCAAGCTCGCTGTTCTCACGTAGACTGTATGCCACAGATCAAGAACGTGGCAACATTTTCAACATTTTCTAGAGATACCCTGATTCACCCTTTACTGGGCTGCACAAAGCCTCGCTCATATCCAAGACACTGTATGTGTCTTGTGCCCCTCCAAGTCATCCTGTGGCACCACCACCAGCTGCCTTCAGAACAGACAAGAGTTACACAGTAGTTGTCTGGTTGTCAATAGGTGGCTTCAGGTTCTCTAATCTTCTTTAGGGACTGAGGTGTTCTAGGTCCTATGGCCAAGACTCCCTCTGCCGTGGGTGATGCCTGGAATGTCTGCCTTTCTGACCACTGCTGATCAACATTCCCGCCCCACCCCCAGAAATGGGAACGCCTACAGCCCGATCCTATCTGCTCTCCGGGGCCTCTCAGGCTCTCTGAAGGGTCATTCTCTGCATGGATTCTTATGTCAATTTGAAAGTTTAATTCTCAGCTGAGAATCTTATTGCCAGTTTCTAAGAACACAAAATGACAATACTCACAATAAATAACCCTTCATCATCCTCATTTTACAAATGCCGACCCTGAGGCTTAGAGAGATCAGGTTAAGCTCTTTCTACCATGAACAAGGTCTAGCACTGTGAATATTTTCCATTTTCTTGCTAATATGTTTAAAGTAGTTCATTTATGAATTCAGCTTGTCTCCCAAAACTCAAGCCATAGGTAGAGATGAGTGTAAAATCAGAATCCATGATACTTGCTTATACTCTGAAAACTTAAAGCAAAACACTAAAGAGATTATAAATCCTGAGTTGAAAATTCACTGAGAAATACCATAATACGCCATTTTACAGAATCATTTTTTCTCATGGCTGCCCTTGGCCTGGTCCTGACCTGGGCCCTTCCTGCTCTACAAACTAAGCACCTGGCCATCCAGGGCTTCTCTGGCCTTCTGGAATCTCTGGGACACAACTGTAGTGCCTGCTGCACTGGGTGGCAGTGAGAATTAAAAGAGATAATACATTAAAACACTTAGGGCTTCCCTGGTGGCGCAGTGGTTGAGAGTCTGCCTGCCGATGCAGGGGACACGGGTTTGTGCCCCGGTACGGGAAGATCCCACATGCCGCGGAGCGGCTGGGCCCGTGAGCCATGGCCGCTGAGCCTGCGTGTCCGGAGGCTGTGCTTCGCAACGGGAGAGGCCACGGCAGTGAGAGCCCCGCACACCGCAAAAAAAAAAAAAAAAAAACCACTTAGTGCGTGGCACTGCACAGGGGAGACTCTCAAAAATGTTCATTGTCATCATCGTTATCATAACCATCATCATCAAGCCCCATTCCCACACAGACTCCTTGAGGAGGCCAGTCTATGTATCTTGTCTTCTCTATCAAGGTTCCCATGCTTTCCTGCTCTCTTCCATCAAAGCACAGCCCTGTCATCTCAGGCGTATTCTCCACTAAAGACATCAGGACACCGACAGCTGCCAGGCAGTTTCCCCTCTTTCCTTTCCCTCTCAGCCTGCCACACGACAGTCTCCCCTCCCCCATCTTTCCATGGAGGCTAATCGGATAATGAAGAGTCAGGGAGAACTGGTCAACCTTCTCACTAAATAGATTCAATATTATTTTTCTTTTTTTTTTTCTGGGTGTGTCGGGTCTTTGTTGCAGCACAAGGGCTTCTCTCTAGTTGTGGCACACGAGCTTCTCTCTAGTTGTGGTGTGTGGGTTTTCTCTCTCTAGTTGTGGCTCTCGGGGTCTGCACACGACGGCTCTATTGTTGAGGCGCACGGGCTTAGTTGCCCCGAGGCATGTGGGGTCTTTGTTCCCTAACCAGGGATCAAACACCCATCCCCTGCATTGTAAGGTGGATTCTTTACCATTGGACCACCAGGGAAGTCCCCAGATTCAATACTAAAATTCAAATCTCAAATGCACAGTGCAGTATTCACCAAGCTTAGAATGGAACACTTGTACTGGTAGAAGGCCTATCTGTTGAGATCAAATAGTACCGAATCTTTGTTCAAATGATAACAGATGATCATATCACACGGCTCAGGTTTGATTCTTTTCACCAACCTTTATCAATTCCTCCACTTCATGGAAGTCCTAGATTGGGAAAAAAGACAAAACTACTGTAAAACAGGAAAGCTGTCAGTTTACGGCAATAATTAAAAAGAGCTGGGAATTCCCTGGTGGCCCAGTGGTTAGGACTCCATGCTCTCACTGCCGAGGGCCTGGTTCAATCCCTGGTCAGGGACCTAAGATCCCATAAGCCGTGCAGGGGAGCCAAAAGAAAAAAAAAATTAAGAAGAGCTGACCTGGGGATGGGCTGGATAAAGAGGCAGGTCCAGGACGATACCATCCTCTTCTCTTCTGGCCTTTAGTTCCCCACTCAGAGTGACAAAGGTTAGGGTGCTATTCATGTTTTCTGGCCAAAAAAAGAATTCTATTTTGTCAACTAGAAAACTTTTTGAAAGGAATCAAGAAATAGGAAAATAAACATTGTTATATAGTTGCATGTCTGTTTTGATCACTGTTATGTAGTCTTAGATTCTCCGGCAGTCTTGTCCTTTCCACTAAAGGGGTCCCAGGTTTGGGTTACTCGGGTCCTAAGTGGAGAAAACTCTCACTGGATTCTAACTTGAGAACCAAGAACATAACTGATTGGACTTGACATCATGCTGTGCCGTTGAAAAAATTATTTAATCTCCTTAAACCTCAATTTCCTCATTAATAAAATGGGGTAATAATTAAAACTATACTAATTTCACTTTACCAATAAATTGGGGGTAATAATTAAACATAGCTCATAGGGATGCTATAATGTTTTCTAACACAGATTTTTAACTATTCCCCTATAATACTATAGAGTAATAAACTCTACTAGTTTAAGATAAGCCAAAGGGATGACAAATAGAACATACAGGTCATGTACAACAGTCTGAGATGAACAATTCAAGCTTACCATAAACAAACCAAACTATACATAAAATCTTGATTTAGAGATTAGATCACCAAACCTGATATAATATCCCTTCATGTTACTGATACAACTTGGGCCACTTATCTCAGTGTGGATAACATTTTTAGTGAAAACAAAGATTTGTGACTTAATTCTTTTCTCTTCCCTAATATTTCTGTAATACTTAACCATATCTCAAAGATGAGAAAATTCAGCACTGCTGATTAACTTTCACAGAATAAAATTTACATTCTAAAACCCAAAGTTTAATTCTTCTCATTATAATTGGTGTAAGACATCATTATTTACCAAGCATTTTCTCATGGAACCTTAGGCCCACCCTGTGGAGGACTATCAGGCCTTTCTTTGGTGCTACCACTTTGCAGTTCAACTTCTCCCTGTGTTCAGTTCTGCTTTCTTTACTCCCTTAACAATACTGATCTCAAGAACACTGCCCCCAATTCTTCTGGCATGCCAGTGTGTCTCAGAGTCTGCTTTCTGGGCAAGCCTGACCTATTAACACCTTCCCTTATCATCCCCACCTAAGTTGCTCCCCCAGAGAACTTCTTTTTCCAACACCCTCCTCCCCACAGTTAACCCTCTGTCGTATCATCCTGTTTATTTCCTTGTTTAACTTTCTGTTTGTGGTCTACACTTATTCATGGCTGCTTCCATCTCCACTTTTAGGACATTTCCAGGCATCTCTCTACCCCATTCCCACAAAGTCCTGATCTTTATCTATTATACTAAGTGTAGCTGAGATGGAAACACGTAGGATTAAGGTGCTGCATCCTCTCTTCACAGGGTAAATGTATACAGCGGGGGCTCATTAATATTTAAAATTCAGAGTAAAAAAGCTCTTATTGTGAAATGAATTTCAATGTGGGTGGGGACATATTCGGGGCAAAGCTATGTCTTTTGGTTCCCCAGTATCATATCATGTTAGACAACTATTCTGCCTTGCAAGCTCTGCTCCTGTGTTTGTCACAGAGACCAGAGAGCTCCTATTTAGAAGAAAATGGCATTCCAGGAAACAATGACCATGGCTTTCCAACATGCACGGTGCATACTCTGAAAGATCAAAGTGTTATAGAAGCTTGCTGTTTTTGTTCCTGCATAATAAGTCGCATGAAATAAACTTTGCAGTGTCTTTATACCACTCACTTTGGTTCACAGGAAAGAATGTGTGAGAGTTTTTAAAAATATTTGCTATTTGCTAAATGGTAAGTTCATAAAAGAAAATCACGTTACTTATTTTGTGAAACAGCACAGCTGCAGAAGCCAGGGTAGCGTGGCCACAGAGAGGAACCTCACTCACTGGTGTAAACCACCTTAATCCAAAGCAGGAACCTTCAGAGGAGAAAAAACCAAAGAGAGATGAGATCATTCCCATACAAGGGGGTCGTAAACTTTTCATTTTCTTATTCTTTTCTAAATATTTCATTAGCATGATTCATCACTGAAACACGTTGTGAAAGGAGGAGCAAAGTCTAGGCAAGCCTCCTAGGGCCCCCCAGTGCTAGATCTGGAGCTGAAACACTCAAATTCACCAATACCTGCTCCCCCAGATGAAATGAAAACCAGATTAGAAGCTCCCCCTCTCCCTCCTATCTGCATGCAAATAGTAAATGGACATTTCCCTTAACTATCATTCCCCCACTGGAAAAGCAGCTTCTTGTGCCATTCAAGAATGGTTAAAAAAAAAAAGCGTATTTACTTTGTGTAAAGTTGTCAGTTGGGTGTAGTTTTTGGATAAAAGCAGTTTCAGAGAGATTCATTTCCTTTGCAATTTTTTGATGCATGTCTTCATCCAATTTCTAAATTAGAAATAAAAGGTTATTGAGACTCCAGAAAAAAAATCTGACTTCCTTGTACAGCAACTGCCACTAGTAAATAACAGTTTATTAATATTAAAAGTTTATGCCTAAAAGGAAATAATCGCCAAGGAATTCAAGGCACTTTTATAAAGATGGCTTTTCAGAAATCCATGCATGCAACCATGTGAAGAGCTGTGGAGGTTAAAAGCTAGAACAGATTCTGAAAACCTACCAGCCTGGGCTATCCTTTGTCAGATTATTATCTAGTCTATCTGAGAGCATGTGTTCTCTTCTAAAAATAATTTCTGCAAATGGCATCTCCACAATCTCTCTTTTCTGTTGGATGAAGAGATGTCAGGTGCCCACTCTGAGCAGGCTGGACCACTCTGCCCCCATTTATGCACAGTTCACTCCCTTTCATGAGTCAGGCCTCAGGCCAGAGGTCACCTCCTCCAGAAAGCCTTCCAGACTGTTCTGTCTCTTCCCCAGTGCTTAGACCACCTGAAATTACTTGCTATGTCCTTTTAAGGTCTGTTCCCCCCACCTCTGACTCTGGCTCTATGAGAGCACCAACTGTGCTACTTTACTTTGTCCTGATTTAGAACAATGCTTTTATTCATCCTGGGATGGAAGGAGGTCAATAAATATTTGCTAAGAGAATAATTATCCAGTTAACCTTCATTTTAAAAACCCTCAATATAGATATTTTTATCCACTTACAGATAAACAAATTAAACACAGAAAGTTTGTGTAATATCCTAAAAACACAATAAGTCTAATAAATGGTAGAGTGATTAAGAATGTGGGCTTTGCAAATGGTAAGAACCAGTGAATCTAGAGGAAAAGTATGTAGATGTTCATTCTTGAAATTTTTCTTAAGTTTTTTAATTTTTCAAAATAAAACATTTTTTTTAAAGTGGGCTTTGGAAACAGACATAATTGGATTTGTATCCTGGGTCAGCTCCTAGAAACAGTGCAAGAGTGGGCAAGTCATTTCACCTCCTGGAGCCTCAGCTTCTATGCCTTTAAAGTGGGAATAACAGTACTTAGGTCGAAGGGTTATTGTGAAGACACATATATACATATACATGCATACACACACATACACACATTCCTCTTAACTCAAGGGAAAAAATGGGCTGAAGCACGAATTTTCTTTTTGCGAATGAAAAGCAATTTTTTAATCAACAAAATGATCACTACTTAGATTTTGAATTCTAAAGAAATCTCAAGACATTAACTATACTCCAATAAAAATTTATTTAAAAAAAAGAAATCTCAAGACAAATGCATTTTTGCTTTGGCAAAACTTACTATTCTTGAGCTCCTGAAACCCAGAAATAAGAATTATATTTTATTCTAATAAATTCATAATTCACTTATCTGAGTTATGCAAGTTAAACACCCTTGTCTTTTAGTTGATTCAAATTCTTTTGAAACACTTCCCATATACTCATATAACATTACAGATATGTTTACCTATTAAAGTTTCTGTATTGAAAAAAAAGGCATAAAACAGCAGTTGTGAAAACTCAGTCATGATTTTTAAAATATCAGCTGATGGGGCCTCCCTGGTGGCGCAGTGGTTGAGAGTCCGCCTGCCGATGCAGGGGATACGGGTTCGTGCCCCGGTCCGGGAGGATCCCACATGCCGCGGAGCGGCTGGGCCCGTGAGCCATGGCCGCTGAGCTTGCGCGTCCGGCAACGGGAAAGGCTACGACAGTGAGAGGCCCACATATGGCCAAAAAAAAAAAAAAAAATATCAGCTGATGTAAAAATCCTAACAGGAGACTTACTAAGCTTTTCTTAAAGGAGCTCTGTATTAAAAATCTGTAGAGGCTCTGTAGTCCTACAGAGAGAGAGATCACTTAAGAAATAGATACTTATTTTCTGAAAAAAATAACACAATGGGTTTTTCTGTTTTTTACTTAATGTTTTTCTTTCAAAAGATTTAATCCAATAATGCATATAAAGTGCTCATCACAGTGCCTGATGCATAGTAAGTACTTGATAAACGTTACCTTTTTGAGTGGTACAAAGCCAGTGCTTTAACCTGCCACGCTGCACTGCCTCCCCATAACAAGGATATTATTATTATCCCTTTAACAGGCTGCAGCCAAGAAAACCAATGTCTATCAGATAAAATGGACTCCTGCAAGCAGAATCAATCACTGAGTGCCATGCTAGGCCACCAGCATCAGCACCATTCCCAAGGGAATGTGTTAGAAATGGAGAGTCTCAGGCCCTGCCCCAGACCTTCTGGATCAGAATCTCCATCTTAAACAGAAACCAGGAGATCCGTGAGCACATTAAAGTCTGGGGAGCCCTGGTGTATGAGGTATGGTCCTGTGGTCAAGGGCCTGAGTCTCTCAGTTGAGTCAAGATAGATACAGAAATCAGCAATGGATTTTGACATTAAATACTCTAGGACTTTAAAGGTGAGGACTTGATGTGGACCTAGAAAAAGGGAAGATTTTGGTGAGTTGAACAGGAAAATGTGGGCAAAAAGCTTTGTATTGGGGACGCTTCTTGGGCAAATCACTTGACCTCACTTCTTTCTCCTTCTGTTAAATCTTTGACACTCTAGGATTCTGTAAGCTAAGGTAAGGAGAATTAGGATGGTAGGAATGAAGTGGAATGAGCACATGTCACACCTCTGGACACCTGTGGGCCTGGGGGGTGAGAAGTCCCACCTGAGTAGAGGAGGGGGTTGGGTGCTGCTGAGGCCAACAAGGCAACAACGTTCAGAAGTGAACTCAAGTGCTTCGCAGTGGCCTGTTGAACGTTCTCCATGGAAACTGGCCCACCTGCCCGTGCGTGTCACACCTGAGAGAAACTCAGAGTCATTTAATTCCCCAGTGCTGAGTCTGCAGTCACAGAAGGGTTGATTAAGAAAAGCCTGGATTTGCCTCCTTGACTGCAGGAACCTGCAGTGCGTGCCAGGCCTTTCTGTATCTGATCTGGCCAAACTCCCTATCCTTGTCCTTCCTTTCTTTGCCTATTGCTTCCCGTGATCTTTAGGACCAGAGCCTCTAAAAGTATTAAAGCATTTCACATTGTAGCCAAGCTCACCATCTATTGGTAATAGATTCCTTTGCAAATGGGCTTTTTTGCACATCAGCTAAAAGACACACTTCACTCTTTAATCTTCTCTGCTTTGGTATATTTCACCAATTACAATTTGAATTTCTATAAGTGCAATTTCTGCCCCAGAACACTGAAAATGCACCTGCTATTTGCCTGAGGGGCCAGAGACAATGTAGAAAGTATGATAGTAGCAGCCCTCCACGTGCACCACATGTGGCTGAATTTCTACACTAGAACCAAAGATCAAAATAATGGTGAATCATAAGAAGATTAATATTGCTTTAACTTGGAGAGCTTTAGGAAGAAAGAATGAGACTACATTCATTCAAAATACTGAATTTTGGTTCCAATAATGTTTCCATTTTACACTACAAGCTTATTTTTAAATGTAACATAATAGTTTCAAACCAAACCAATAACTGTTAGTTCTCTTGCTTTAATATCCATTTCCTTTTGCCAATTTCACATGAGTCAAGCTTCCAGCAGCAAAATTAGAGCCATGTTTGTTTTTCTGCCTCCCAATGTACTGCGTTGGGACACGGAGGTTCCATCACTATATGGCCCGCAAAAGATTAATGATCAGAAAATCAGAGTAAAGTTTTAAAATACTCCCACCTTGTGGCAGTTTAGAAATATGACAGCCTAAACAGGACAGTCCTGCTCTGTTCCTTTGTCCCTCTGCTTTCCTTCCAGCAACGGAAAAGCACTTGGAGGTAGAAAGTTCTAAATCATCTAGGAATGGGAGATTCCTTTCGAGGCACTTGGATTTCCGATTGTAAAGTTATGTCCACACAATGCAGCACTCAAACTTCAGGCCATCTTCAGTTGCTTCTAACGGATCTTACGGATGCTTAGTCTCTCCAGCTCCATCACAGAACCCAAAGAACATACTCACTTTGCATACCCTGCCCACCCCACCCTACCAATGAGAACAAAAGATGAATAACTGTTGGCTAACTAGAACTCTTAGGAGATTTTGCCATATCACTGATTATAATATTTTCACTTTCACTCAACAGATATCTATTTAGTGCCTCCCATGTGCTAGGCCTTGTGTGTTGGAACAAGTCAGAATAGATTAAGATCTCATGGAATGTACAGTAGTGAGAGAGAAAGGCATTGAATGAATTACAACAAGAGTGATGCATGTTATCAACTGGGAAAGGGTGCCGTGGGAGCACATAAAAGGGGAAGATATCTAGTCTAGTATTGAGTACAGTGGGTTAAAAGCATGGGCCCTGCAGTCAGGCAGACCTGAGGTGGGATTCTGAAGTCAGCCATTTAACCCTCTTCTGCCTCCATTTTCTCATCTGTAAAATGGGGATAATAATAATAAGACCTACTCATAGAGTGGTTGTGAGGGTGAAATGAAATAACATATGAAATTAGCACAGTAGGTATCTGGCTGAACTTGCCTGAAGTCACTGCCCTCAAAGCTGAGAGTTATGTTCTAGAAGCCAGTGAGGATACTTGGGAAGCAGAAATTCCCACATTAACATTTCCTCTTCCTTTGCGTTGGTCTCTTCCCTCAAATACTCGGCAAAGGAAAACACTTCAATGTCCTAGAAGAATCATCTCTGCACCTTGCACCATTTTTCTGGGCATAAAAATGAGATATGAGGTTGTAACCCTCTAGAAACCCCAGGAGCCTCTGACCCAGTGTGGTCACACTGAGCCAGTGATCCTCTCTCTAAGGAAGGGCAGCAAGTTTGGAAATGGCCACTGCACATGAGTTAAAGCATGGATTGAACACAGCATTGCTATAAACCTGTTTTTCTTTAAATATATAACCCACCAAGCTGTAAAAGGGGCTTTTGGTCGTCCCTAAATTTAACCAGAAAAACCAGAACAGCAAGTACTTTAGGAACTAAAACTAAGCATTCCTCTTTAAAAGTGTGAAGCCAGGGACTTCCCTGGCAGTCCAGTGGTTAAGAGGTCACCTTCCAAAGCAGGGGGTGCGGGTTCGATCCCTGGTTGGGGAGCTAAGATTCCTACATGCTTCAGGGCCTCAAAAACCAAAACAAAACAGAAGCAATATTGTAACAGACTCAATAAAAACTTTAAAAAAAAAGTGTGAAGCTGATCCTCCTTGCTGTCACTGGAAATGATTAGTAGTGTTTAAAAGAACAGAAACACACATATATGAATATTACATTTGATCCTAGCACAGTGTCCAGCTTATGGTAGACAGCCAGTAAAGGCCAGTTGAATCGGGATAAATAAATATACTGGGCACACAACGAAGTTGTTTTTATGGATAACTTAAATAGGAAAACTCCAGAATAAGCCTCTCTTTAGAGAAGGTATCTTCTGAAACAATGGTTTTCAACTGGGGTCTTTCTCTAGTTGCGGCAAGCGGGGGCTGTTCTTCGTTGCGGTGCTCGGGCTTCTCATTGCCGTGGCTTCTCTTGTTGTGGAGCACAGGCTCTAGGTGCGAGCTGTGGCTCGCGGGCCCTAGAGTGCAGGCTCAGTAGTTGTCGTGCCTGGGCTTAGTTGCTCTGCAGCATGTGGGATCTTCCCAGACCAGGGCTCGAACCTGTGTCCCCTGCATTGGCAGGTGGATTCTTAACTACTGAGCCACCAGGGAAGCACCTATATTAAAACTCTTGACAAGCAGATTTAGTCAATTTCACAAGACCTTGACGTGAAGCTATGTTTGCCATATTGTTTCTAAACAAAGTTCACGTTTTAGAATCTGGCTGTTATTCTCTCACTAATACTCCTAAGCTCTTGTGTTACTTGACAAAGCCTATTAACTTTATTACTTTCTGCACTTTGTGGTTGGAAAATGCCAACTGCAAGGTTGCATGATGAATGCATCTTCAAAGTAAGATGAGGACTCTTTGTTTTGTTTTGTTTTATTTATTTACTTATTTTTGGCTGCGTTGGGTCTTCGTTGCTATGGGCGGGCTTTCTCTAGTTGCAGCTAGTGGGGGCTACTCTTCTTTGCAGTGTGTGGGCTTCTTGTGGGGTCTTCTCTTGTTGCGGAGCACGGGTTCTAGGCGCGGGGGCTTCGGTAGTTGTGGTGTGTGGGCTCAGTAGTTGTGGTAGGTGGGCTCTAGAGCGCAGGCTCAGTAGCTGTGGCGCAGGGGCTTAGTTGCTCCATGGCACGTGGGATCTTCCCGGAGCAGGGCTCAAACCTGTGTCCCCGCATTGGCAGGCGGATTCTTAACCACTGCGCTACCAGGGAAGCCCAAGGTAAGATGAGGACTCTTGATCACCATTTTGCTGCTCCATTTGACGGAGAAAATAAGTATACCAAAGACTCAATTAACAATATTCACCTGTCTCAGTAAAACCTCAGCCATTCTCCATCTTGATTTACACTAGAATCACCCGGGGAGCTTTAAAAAACAGTGCTGCTTGGGTCCCACCCCCAGAGATTCTATTGTGATTGGCTGGGCATAGGAATTTTTAAAGCACCTCAGGTGATTTTAATCTGCAGCCAGCTTGATGTTTGCACTCAAAGGCCCCAACTTAATAAGACTTTTTTTAATGTGTTATTTTTTTATTGGAGTATAACTGCTTTACAATGTTGTGTTAGTTTCTGCTGTACAGTGAAGTGAACCAGGTATATGTATACATATATCCCCTCCCTCTTGGACCTCCCCCACCCCACATCCCACCCATCTAGGTCATCACAGAGCACAGAGCTGAGCTCCTTGTGCTATACAGCAGGTTCCCACTAGCTATCTATTTTACTCATGGGAGTGTATTTATGTCACGCTTAATCTCCCAATTCATCCCACCCTCCCCTTCCCCCCACTCCCCACCATGTTCTCTACCTCTGCCTTTCTATTCCTGCCCTTTACGATCATCAGTGGCTTACTGTGTTCCTGAAATAATTTTCAGAAAATCTACTCTTGTAATAACTGCTCTGAGTAGAAGCGTACCTTGGCTTGTTTCCTAACACCCAGGTAACAACACAAAGCATCTAAGGTCAAAGAAAATTTAACTATTCTGTTAAAACTTATCCAATCAAAGAGCCATTTTTACAATGAGACTTTCAGTAAGCTGAGTTCTCCCTATGTTAGAGCTTAATTCCTTCTATCTTTCTACTACATTACTTAATTCCTTGCAAAATGTCTCATCTTTGGTCCTGAAAAGAATTTCTAATTGTCTGAACTATAGGTAAGGTTAAAAATATCCAGCTAGAATCTTTTAAGCTAAATGTAGTATCAGCCATGTCCAGTCACATAAAACTCATCTAATTTCATTCTCCTCCCCATTTGGTGCTAACTAAATGAAAACACAGAGGCTACAAGGAGCTCGAGTTCTTTTTTGGGGGGCGGGGTGGGGGGAGTCTCAACCACCAAACCACCGGGGAAATCCCCCCCACACTTTTTTTTTAATTGGCTCTAGTTCTTCTTTACATGAATCTTCATTTCTCTAGACCTAAGCATCTAGGTGTAAGCAGTCTCATCATAAGATTTGGTCAATATCAACTTGCAGACATGAACATTGCTGATATCATTTGACACAAACCAGAGAGGTACACAAATAGGTGGGTCTGATTTTTTTTTTTTTAGGAAATACTTGGTTCTACAGGAATCTAGGATTTGAGGCACTGCACTTCCAAACAAAATACTACTTACATCTTCTAGGAGGCAAACAGCAGCAGGATTCCCACGAAATGCTTTTGCTGTGAATGCATCTACTATGAAAATAGGGAACTTCATTTTCCTTGCAATCTGTTTCTGCAAGCTCTCAAAATTGCTGGTAGCCTGCTTTCATGCTTGTTGCTGCAAAAAATCAAAAAGTTAATGTTTTACTTGATGTACAGAAGCAACTAGCGTTTTCCAGGTACAAAGTCAAGCAGTTATTCTAACACACCTACATTTAAAGTGATCCTCTGATTTTAAGCCTCTAAATTGAATTTGTTTTAAATTACTGGATTGATATTTTTTTTCATAGTGTACATATACTTAACAACATAATCATATTCCTAGAGTAGCCAAAACTACATTAGGCTATGCTTTTAATGAACTGCATGAAATTTTCAAGGGGCATATATGTTGCTTATAGTTTCCCAATGAATATTAATGCCCTTTTAAAATAATGCATTTTTTCTAATTATAAAAAATATGCCCATTATCGCTTCCTTAGCGGCGCTGTGGTTGAGAATCCTCCTGCCAATGCAGGGGACACGGGTTCAAGCCCTGGTCCACGAAGATCCCACAACTACTAAGCCTGCACTCTGGAGCCCATGAGCCACAAGTACTGAAGCCCGTGCACCTGGAGCCTGTGCTCTGCATGAAGAGAAACCCACGCACTGCAAAGAAGAGTAGCCCCCACTCGCCGCAGCTGGAGAAAGCCCACACGCAGCAACAAAGACCCAACGCAGCCAAAAATAAATAAATTTATATTTTTTTACAATGCCCATTATAAAAAAAACTTGGAAAATCAAAAAGTGACTCATAACCATGTAAATCAGCAATAACTTTTTTTTTGGACTTAACATAGTCAAAGGAGCCTCATGCTTTAATTTTGTGTTATTTTATAAATCTGCAGATGGAGACTTTTTAACTCATGATATAGATTTGTTAAAATAAAGCTTTTCATTATAAAAATAACACTTTCTCTTTACTGAAAACCTGTAAAATAAGAAAAGCAGGGTGCGGAGGGGATCTCCTGTATTCTCATGCCCTACAGAGAGAAATTCTGTTAAACATTCTCAGTGTTTCCTTTGTTTTACTAGAAAGCATGGGTTTTGTCATAGACATGGAGGGATTCTTCCCTCCCAAAGTTATAGAACTTTTAAAAAATTCAGCAAATTAGAAGATGCTTTGTTTAAATCTATTTTTTTTTTTTTTTCCTTGCGTTATGCGGGCCTCTCACTGTTGTGGCCTCTCCCATTTGCGGAGCACAGGCTCCGGACGCGCAGGCTCAGTGGCCATGGCTCACGGGCCCAGCCGCTCCGCGGCATGCGGGATCTTCCCCAAACCGGGCACGAACCCGCGTCTCCTGCATCGGCAGGCGGACTCTCAAGCACTGCGCCACCAGGGAAGCCCTGCTTTGTTTAAATCTAAAAGAAATTAACCTATCTTAACATGTATGTCTTGTTCTCAAGATTAAGATAAATAACAGTGGGACGCCTTGCTGGCGGCCACACCTGGCACCAGCCCACTAGGCAGCTCCCAGGCCTACAGGTTTCTTTTTCTTTTCTTTGTGTTTAATTTATTATACAAGTGTTTTGCTTAACTTTTTTCTGCCTTTTTTTGGTATAATTGATTTATTACTTTCAGGTGTACAACATATTGATCCGATATTTTTATACATTGGGAAATGATCTACCACAATCATTAACTACCTAGTTAATCCATCACCATACAAAGTTACAAAAAAAGGGTTTTTTTGTGTGTGATGAAATTTTGAAGATCTACTCTCTTAGCAGCTTTCAAATATGCAATACATTATTGTTAACTATAGTCACCATGCTGTACATGACATTCCCAGGACTTATTTATTTTACAACTGTAAGTTTGTACCTTTTGACCCCCTTCAATAACTTCAGTAAGGTTGCACCTTCTGACCTCCAAGCAATAACATTATTATTTTAGATATACAGTTTTTAATCATAATTTTTACCCTTTTAACAGTATAGCATGAGTATAAGTGCTTCAAAAACATCATTTTAATAGATTTACAATAGGCTTATGCATATGCTATAAATTATTTAACTATTTCCCCTTTGGTGAGTATTTATTTCTAATTTTTCACTTGTAAAGATAATGTAGTGATCAAATTTTTTGACTGTAAATCTTGGTCTGCATTTTTGATTCTTTAATTATAATAGATTCCCAAAAACCAAATCCCTGGGTCAAAGTGTACAGACATCTTAACTTAGACATACAGTTAAATTTATCTTCAGGGCTTCCCTGGTGGTGCAGTGGTTAAGAATCCGCCTGCCAATGCAGGGGACACGGGTTCAAGCCCTGGTCCGGGAAGATCCCACATGCCATGGAGCAACTTAGCCTGTGCGCCACAACTGAGCCTGCGCTCTAGAGCCCGTGAGCCACAACTACTGAGCCCGTGTGCCACAACTACTGAAGCCCACGTGCCTAGAGCCCGTGCTCTGCAACAAGAGAAGCCACCGCAATGAGAAGCCCACGCACTGCAACAAAGAGTAGCCCCCTCTCGCAGCAACCAGAGAAAGCCTGCGCACAGCAATGAAGACCCAACGCAGACCAAAATAAATAAATAAATAAATAGAATTTTTAAAAAATTTATCTTCAGAGAGTGTATCAACAGCATATGAGAATGCCCCACCATTTGTGATCTGATAGATTTTAAAATACCTTGAACTTTCATTTGTGTTTCTTGGATTATTCTAACCAGACTGCAAAGAGCATAAAGTCAGAACCTCTTCTTGTTTTTCTTTGCTACTAAAATCTCAGTTTCTAGAACAGTGCCTGACACAATAAATGTTTATTGAATTAAGTAAATAATATACTGAGCATGCATCGCAACTGAACTTTCATACATTGACTGGCAAATACTTAGGGCTTCTCAACATGGTATCATCTGCCAGCCAACATTTCAGTTTCAGTAGCATCACCATTATTGACAGTACATTGCAGTTTGTTGATGTAATTATTTGGAAATTTTATTATAGATTGCCTTTATTATTTTAGAAAAATTGAATAGAGACCAGAAACAAATTAAAGTTCTGACAATGAAGCATAGTTTTCATAAATAGAATTGACACTGTTACAGAAATCATAGGTATGCCAAAAGGAGCAAGTTTTTAGCCTCATTGAACTACAGCCCCATTGGTCTCAGCCATCAGCTGTGTTCAATAGGATGAGAAATTTATATTGAAAAGACTGTATAACTTTTCTATAGAGATCATAAATTACATGTTTATGTTTTTAAAATGTTTCTTTAGATAGTCTTGTTTTCTTGCTCTAATTTGGTACAGAAAAATAAAATTCTACAACTAGGCACTTTATCAGGCTTTTAGAAATACTGCATTGCTTCTCAAGTGAAAACATTTCTTTAAAGGGAAAAATCCTCCAAGATTCTAATATCCAATGTCATTTGCCCGTTTGACAACAACTCCTCTCCACCCCACCACTCCCACACACACACTTGCACTTCTCTTTTTCTAAAAGAACTCTGATTTTGTTTGGGGAGGCAATGCACCCGGCCCCATCAATGTATCATAAATGGTCTAAGCCAATCTGTATGATTTCATTCTCCTGTGCCAGATGCTCCCTCTTCCAGATCCTCTTGCAGCTAGAGATGGCCATAGGATCCATTTAGAGCAAGATTGCTGGAGAGATTCTAGGGACAATCTTTGGCTTTCTGATAAAAGGGGCAGACGGGAAAGGAAAATGGACAGCCTCTTTTTCCCCCTCCTCTTTTTCCTGTCTTGAATATGTTGCTGATGCCTGGAAATGCAACGATCATCTTTTAACCATGAGGTGACAAATATGAAGAGGAAAAGCTAACAAACTAGGTAAGGAAGAAATAGTATAGGTTCTTTACAATGTAGTTAACCTGCTAAATCAATGTTAGACCCTCCTACTTCCAGACTTCTTAAGTAAACAGCAAATATCCTTAAGGTTCAAACTATTGTCAGTCTATGGAGTAGCCAAAATAATGGCCAAAGTAGCCAAAGGTGTCCACATTCTAATTCCAAGAATTTGTTAATGTGCTATGTTTGCATGGCAGCAGGGAATTAAGGTTGCATATGGGATTAAGGTTACCAATAAACTGATTTTTTTTTTTCAACATTTGAAGGCAGGGCTTTTTTTCTTTATTTTATTTTTATCTTTGGCTGCATTGGGTCTTCCTTGCTACGCGCGGGTTTTCTCTAGTTGTGGTGAGTGGGGGCTACTCTTCGTTGCGGTGCGCGGGCTTCTCATCGTGGTGGCTTCTCTTGTTGCAGAGCATGGGCTCTAGGTGCGCAGGCTTCAGTGGTTGCAGCATGCGGGTTCGGTAGTTGTGGCACTCGGGCTCTTGGGTGTGCGAGCTTCAGTAGTTGTGGCACCCCGCCTCAGTAGTTGTGGCTTGTAGGCTCTAGAGCACAGGCTCAGTAGTTGTGGTGCATGGGCTTAGATGCTCCACAGCATGTGGGATCTTCCCAGACAAGGGATCAAACCCGTGTCCCCTGCATTGGCAGGGGGATTCTTAACCACTGCACCACCAGGGAAGTTCCAACTGACCTTAAAATAAGATTATTTTGGATTATCCCAGTGGACTAAATGTCACAGGGGTCTTTAAAAGTGGAAGAGGGAGGCAGAAAAATTCAAGGCAGTGATTTGAACATGCTGTGCTGCTGGGTTAAAGACAGAGGAAGGAGACACAAGCCAAGAAATATAGGTAGTCTCTAGTAATTGAATAAGATGGGACTTCCCTGGTGGTCCAGTGGTTAAGAATCCGTGCTCCCAATGTAGGGGGCATGGGTTTGATCCCTGGTCAGGGAAGTTCCTCGATCCCATGCCATGGAGCATGGACAAAAAAAAAAAAAAAAAAAAAAAATTGAACAAGGCAAGGAAACAAATTCTCCCCTAGAACCTCTAGAAGGAACAAATCTGGATTAGTCAGTTGAGGACGCCATAACAAACCATAGACTGAATGGCTTAAACAACAGAATTTCTTTTCTCACTATCTGGAGGCTGGGAAGTCCCAGATCAAGATTGATTTTATCCCAGTGAGACCTATTTTGGATTTGTGACCTTTAGAATTATAAAATAAT